GTCCGGCTCTTCAGTGCTTGCGGCTCGTGGATGCAGGCTGTGTGCAGGCCTGGTTTAGGCATTGTTTGCACGGAAAACGTGTTGCACAAATTCATTTTTTGCTATATTGATATCTTCAGACCATATCAGAATATCATTAAAGTTTCCCTTTAAGGGGAGATGGTACCATGTATATATACCGCCCATGCCAAATTTGCTACTATTGATGTACCTTTTTTAGAAAGTGGTTTACTAAGAGATTTGTATTTTTCGCACATTTAAGGAGATTTTACTCTTTAAAGCAAAGCAAGCTATGTAAACCAGATTTTCAAAAATAATTGAACAAACTTTTCCTTTTTAAAGTACGCTACGAATTCTATACTACTGAAAATTTGATCTAACCTCGATTTTTTTGATTCATTTAAAAATATATATCTTTGAAAAGGACTGTGACTAGTAACCTAATACAAATGCAATGTTTTGTTTTCAATGACATCGTTCTCTATTTCAGACAAACATCAATCTGGTGGACATCCAATGTCTTCTGTTTTCTCAAAACATTTGTGTGGTGTAGTGTGTCTAGTTACAACACATCAAGAAGGATATTTGTACTATTTTTCAATGGACTCTGCATCTACAATGCTTCAGCAAGCTGCATGTGTGACAGTGTACCCTTTTACTGCACCTGTCTCATGTGTTGTGTTGGAAGATTGTCTTCTTCATGCTCTTACTGACACTGGGTTGGAAACATACACTCTTCGTATTGGTCATTACATGCCATCCTTCAGTCCGGAAGAAGCAAATGTAATTTCGTGATTCTATCTATTACATTTGTTATTTTATTCTGTGTTTCCCATTGTATGCTGCTAATTATCATTTTGTTGCATGCTCTAATTTTTAGGTCACTCCCGCTTGGGCAGAACCAGTTTGTCTTGTTGGGTTGCGACCTTTCTTAGGCGTGGAGCATCTCTTGCTTTCAAATTCTTATCTCCTTTTATTGGCATGTTCAGAAAGTTCAAGTAATAGCAGTCTTGAGTAAGTACTTTGCATATTTTAGTGTATTACTGTATAGGTGTACTTATAAATTTGTAATTATCCGGGAATAGTTCAGCATATTCTCTCTATAAAAGGCGCAGTATTTTCCAGTCCATCATCAAACATATTTAAGATGAAAATATAGACTTTTGCAAATTGTGGTGTGGAGGGAAATGCGCTATAACACGTTACGCTGCAACACACTTCGCAAACGTTTGTAACTCGCAAACGTTGCCATGTAGGCCTAAAACAGGGCGGCTATGCTCTTAAAGGGATACAAATTATGTTTATTTTCACTTTTGAAACAATGATTTAAAATAACAATAACAAAACATAAGCAATGTGGAATAAGGATAAAAAATGACCTTGCATAGAATGTTTTAAAAGATAACAGAGAAGTAAACGATCCGGCAACATGACTAAACTCTTTGACCATTGTTTGAGAATTGCGGTTCAAAGGGTCTAAAGCCTCAATATTCAACATAAAATATATCCCCTTTAAAATTAGAGCCGTTTGTTTCCGAGACTTTTGGCTATAAAATTCGCAATATAATCGGTAATCTAAAATAATGAATTTCTGTTTTTTTCGACTTCTGTGGCTGCCGTTATACGCCTATTAACTCACATCTATCTAATGGAGACCGGAGTATTTTGAAAACAGTGTAGATCAAAAAGGAATCAACAATAATTAAATTCAAAATTACGGCAAATTTCTCTTTTGTCTGTTTTTTGTTTTTGTTTTTCTTTTTTAAATGTTAGATTTATCTACGTATGACGAGAAACCTTAGTTTTCACGATGAACTGACACACGATAACACTGAAATCACACTGAAACACGATAGTTTTCAGATCGCCAACACTGATTTCGAAAATCAAAATCTACGGAAAGAGCTATATTTTTTATTAAAGTTGTCGTTTCATCAATAGATCAAAATGAAGTATCTATTGGAGTATTTTTAGATCTTTCAAAAACGACGTCATTGATCAATTTGACGTCATTGAGCGTACCATTTTACTTATCGCTTCATTGCCTTTTGCACATTAGATCCCAAATGATCTTCCGACTACACATATACGATACGTCCTCGTGTATTCGAAACGGAAGAACAGTGCGCTTGGCGGATGAAACGAATATTCTTTGAAGAAAGAAAGAAAGAAAGAAAGAAAGAAAAAAAAAAAAAGAAAAAAAAAGTACAATATCAGATATTTCAAAATTAGTTGATGCGACCTTAAATAAAAAAAATTAAAGAATAAAAAAAGGGCGGCATGAATTGGTCTAGTAATAACAAATTACTAGTAAACGAAAGGAAAATGTTTCAATGCAATTTTTCATTTCAAATAATTGTAGACTTCATTGAAAATGAACGATGTGCAATTGACTGGCGTGAAGGTAACATTGTTTGGATCTCTGAATTCAAACCCCAAATGAAATGCCCATTTAAGTGAAATGAACACATGAAGTTCAGTATTATACGCATTCAGAATGTTTTTAATTCAGTCAGACCACTGTCCGTTGTGAATATTTGACGACTTCTCTGAGATATATCAGAATATTGTGAAAAAACACATTCTATAGCTCCCAGACTCATAGATACCTTGCCGTACACACCTTGCCGTTGACAATTCAGCAATTGCACGGGGAGCGGTTTATGGGCACTAGTGATTCTGT